ATAATTGTATCACTGGCAAGGATTTCCGTTTGGGGGGGGGGGGGGGGATAATTGGTTAAAACATAATCACTGGCAAGGATTTCCCTTTTCCTGTCTTTTTTCTGAATGTTCTTGCGTTCCAATTTCAACGAATGAATTTCCATCTGGAAAAAAAGAAAGTTGATTGTAGTTCAGTCAAAGTTTCTTGAATATTTTGAAGTTATATTGGTATTACAAGGAACTCTAGTGAGATCTCAGTCTTTGATCTTCAAACTACTTGTAGCAGTGCATTTGACCTCACCAACTATCGCAATGCTAGTAACCATGAGTTGCTAAATATATGTGAATGACAGTTCTCTGCCACTAGTCAATATCTATCCTATAATTTGCTACTTGAATATCTTCTCGAACTCAAGCCGTTGAGTTTTTGGGTGTTTTTGTGGCTACTGGCTACTCTCTCATGAATCCATATTGATTTCAAGTTGCTTTCTTGCAGTAATTACTTGCCCAACTCTGAATCCATATTGATTTCAAGTTGCTTTCTTGCAGTAATTACTTGCCCAACTCTCAAGCTTACCTGTGATGTATTTGCATTTTCTTAATTGTGACTACTAACTCTTACTTTCGCTTTTATGTATCATGTGTAAAGAAGCATGAGGTCAAAATTTTACCATCTTTCAATATCGCACTCGGTTTTGGAGTAAAACAGAATTTACATTCTAATCTTTGACTACGTAAGTGTCTTGTCACTCAAATTGTTAAAGGTAGAATATTTTAGTTACGAATATGTGACATCTGGCACCTAAAGGTGTGACCTATAGCCTATGAAGTGGGTGCAGACCAGGGTTCAAATCCCACGCTAACTCTGCCTTAGCGTTGATGGCAGAGTTATCTGGTACCTATGCTGATGGAAGGTAGCAGGTGCCTAGTCGAATAATCAAGGTGTGCAAATACCGGCCGGACACCACTGTTATTTAAAAGAAGTGGCATCTGTGAAGTAAAGTTTGAGAGACAACCTATCAAATAATGTGCTTAGTTGCAGCCCCAGAAATTAGTATGAGGCATATAAGACTCAGAATCATTTAAGGTGCACTGGGTGCTCATCGGATATGTGTGGCTGTGTGTTTTATTCTGAGACCATCTTTGTTCTACTAGCATGTGATATCTGAGGTCAGCGGCAGAAAACTTGCATGGTAATTCCCTAAGAGATCGTTTGGTTACCAGGTGGGATAGACAAGGATATTCCATGGGCTGGGTTATCCCATGAGATTAGCTATCCCAAATTCTATATGGGATAGCTAATACCACCATTTTGGTATAAAATTTATCCCAACATTAGCTTACCCATAACCAAACATGAGATAAATACAATTCCAAATTCGATCTCGGAATTAGTATCCTTATCCTGGTACTCAAATGACCTCTAACTGTTGCTGTTGGACCATCAAGTATGGTTCCATCTAGAGAGGCTCCAAGGAGTTTTATGAAAGAGTATGACAATGAATTTGGGAGCTCCTTAACTCTTTTAGTTGTATGCGTTGAGGTTTCTTCCCATTCCATGACTTATGTCCTCTTTAGTACTAGCATGCAATGCAGAAATGTCTGATGTGACAAAATTTGAACATATTAGTTTCCTGATCGTATATTTGCCTGAAATAGAGGGGAAGGTTCAACAAAGTTGGAACTAGTCACTTGATTGGTTGTGGTTCAGCTTCACTGTTAATGGTCTCTCTTGGAACTATAATTGGATTTGAGTCAACTAAATATTTCATTTTCTTTTCTCAGCATTTGGAGGGGGCGAAGCTTGATGGTGCAAATTTACTGGGTGCAATCAGGTGACACCCCTCTCATCCCAACTCAACCCCCCCTCCCCCCCTCCCCCGCAACCCAAAAACAACCCAATTTTTTTTTGTAGAAATAGTGCGAGTCTGACTGTATTGACTGACTGTTGTAAGTTTTATTTGGTTGGCTGAAGCTCATTTTAAGGTTAATATCTGTATTAGTATTTTACCCAAATTGTTTCAAACCAAGCATGAAGCAACCATGCTGGCCTTGCAAAAATGTTTAGCTTCTGTTCTGAGATGAACAAAGATGTACCGAGACAATATCGACATGCTCGATAATTTCCTGATCGTATATTTGCCTGAAATATCCTGATCCTATAATTCTAAAGGTGAGAATTTGTGTTTAATTTGTGGATTACGCCTAATCTGTCTGCATAGATTGGTATTTTAAACAAGATGTACCAAGTCAATCAACTGCATTTAAGGTTGAAGTTATCCTTATTATCTACCGGTCACGTTTCTTGTTATTTTAAGGGCTAGAAGTCCAGCGAAAAGCAGTAAAGCATACACCTAATAGATTAGCATCAAAGCTTATTATAACTTAGTCGTATCATAATTACTTACAAGCAATAAAGCATACATCAAACAATTTATCATCGCTTGTAATATAGTATTATCATAATTTAATACATCTACTCTTTTATACGTCATGATTGGTATAAAAATGTCCATTCTTCTTCCGCTCTACCTTTTTTTTTTGGGCAAGGAAATTCAACAGAAGAGACCATATATAAAGGAAGAGGGGAAAAGAAAATTAGGTCACCATAAGCAGTTATAACTCACTTAATTGTGCTTGCAAATATTATTGCATTTTTTAAATTTATGTTGGACCAATTTTTGTTCTGCCAAATCAAATTTCTTTAGGGTAACTTACTTTCGAGTTGTATCTTTTTTTGGGGTTGATTTCCCTTCCCTTTGATTCTCTTTGATCCCCTTTGTTGGAGCTATTGCTCCTTTGGTGGCTCGAACCCACGATCCTAAGGTTGTAGGTGTAGGGTGCCGACCATCTCCTCTTGCAAAGTTTGCCCTTACAGTGCATACGACTAAGATTTTCTGTCATGAGAATGACTTGACAAAGGAGGCAAAGGGTCCCCCGAGAATAAACAAAATGCAACTTCCATCCTTAAGGAGAAGAGCCAAAAAACACTCAAGTTGGTGCTATAACCCACTATGAAAGCAATGGCTGATGTGTCCCAAATACTTCTTTTTTACTCTCAATGTACCTTAGTGCATAAGATCTTAAGGTCTCTGACCATGAACTTTGAAAAGAGTTGCTAAAGCACTCTATTAGGCTTTTGTATTTAACGATAAGGTTCACATGTCCCCCGCCCTTTTTTGTTATTTTGGCTGGAATAATCTATATGGTAGGTGTCACAGGGGTGATTTATGTCGCTCGAATTTTGCCCGAGGTTCACCGCCTTGCAGTAATCAAGCCCTGCCTTGACTTCAGCCTTTCCATTATTTTAGGACATTTGGGACTTAAAATAAAATTCAGGCAGCAAGTAAAGTAAAGGCACACACGAAATTTACAGGAATCTCTTCCCAACTCGTATTAATATGTGAATAAAAGAACACAATAAAGCCAACCCTGTGGTCAATAACAAAGAACACCCTAGTTCCCAGCCCCAAAATGATTTCCTACCTTTAGGAATACACTTAGACGTTTTGGCTCAACAAATTTGCCACGAGTCTAAGTTCTGTCTTTTGGGATAGCCCTATGCACATTTTTTTATAGTGTAGGTAGCCCAATTACACTTGGCAGCATCTAAGACAATTAGTTGACAAGCCCCAAGTGATAGACAATCATGATAGACATGATTAAAAATGTGCATCCACTTAGCCCCTTGATCAGCTATGCTTGGATGTGTAACTGTTCAACTGCACTGTCATGTGCCCAGCACACTTAGTAACCGCTGCTTATGCACTGCATGTGCCTGTTTTGCCCAGCTATTGTGCGCCCAAGGCTGGCATTGCGCCCAGCCTTGCCCTTTGACACTGCTCCGCCCCAGTGTTATAATCACAACTTGTTGACCATGACTTAGCCGCACACGCCTGTTGCCACAGCTGCTCGCCCATGTCAAATGGCCCCCAACTTGCTCAAATCTGCCCACATCAATGTCATTTCTTGTCTTGCCTTGCCTTGCCATGTCTTGGCCCCTGCCTTGACATGGCTTTGCCTTGCCATTGTCATGCCAACCTGCACGTCCATGTGAAATGCGCCTTGCCTCCGTCAAGGTACGTTTGTCAACCCCGCATAGTCCATCATGCCGAATTTCCCTCATGATAGTAGCCCTAATTTTCGGGTTGTGTGCCAAGGCCATCATGAAAATCCTTGTCACGACCGATATTTGCTGAGGAACTTTGTCATGGGGCTAACAATAGGGGTCCAAGCCAAATCTCCCACCACCACGGAGGTGATGGTTTTAATTAAAAAAAAAAGTTAATATCTTGTAATTAACCTTAGTAGTTTGCCTCATTCTTAATCTTTATTTTCAGCGCACTCGGTGGAGACTTTATGAATGTATATTTTTCAAGCCCTATCATAGATGATATTCCCATAAAAAGCTGGTGGTTATGGTGGTGGAAATGACTGTCAAGGGAAGAGAGAAGATGTAGGAAAAGAGAAAAAAAAGTTAAAAATAAAAACTTTAGCTATTCACACTCTTTTTGGAGGTGAGGTTCACGCGCATTGCCATGTCAGCAATGTGTGTTTAATGGGCACATTAGAGCTTGAGTCTTAAGTGTTCAATGGGAACAAAGGGTAGTTCAAGTGTTTAAATGAAAAAAATGGTTAAGTTTAAGGGGTTAGCATATTTATTTGGCCTTCTCTCAATGTTTCTTATTTTAGGTTTCAAGTTGCCTCATATCCCTCTTCTTGAACTTCGCACATGAGATTGCTACAATCTAGTCTGGTAGGAAAGTTGTCACAAATTATTGGTAAACCTCCTTGTTGTTAGTGCATTATATATGATGAACGAAAATGAGCAAAAGTTTGGGATTTTTTAAACAAGTTTTGTAAACAAGGGGTTACAAGTAGCAGGTGCATTTCTTGTGGAGGAAATCGTCTCTGGCAGTAGAAAGTATCCCCCCTATCGATGGTGCCTTTTTTTTCTAAAGAAAAGTTGAGCGGAAAGTTTAAAAATTATTGTCCATTTTCATAAGAGAAACACATAACAACCGTTGTACTATTCATCTTCCTTCTCATTCTTTTTGATAACTAAAAGAACAAAAACCAGCAACATTACGTGAAGACCAAGCTCCAGCCAAGAAATATCAAGCGCTTATTGAAGAAAAGTACAACCCATTCGGCTTACGGGCGGAGCCACAGTGTTGGTTGCGGTTTTGGCCGAACCTAGTAACTTTTGTTCAAATCTTGTATTTGTATTGAAAAATCTATTGAATATGCACAAATTATTAATTAAGAATTCAATAACTTAAATGATTATAATTTCGAACCCATAAGGTTCAAATCCTAGTTGGTCTTACTCCTTTAAAACATCAACCAAGGTTCTCTATATATGTGAGTCACATTCATGTCATTGACATGTCTTTGCATAACCACGTATTTTCTCCTCTCCCACTAGTGGTTAAAATAATCTTGTACTCAGTAAACGATTCTCATTTGTGCGCAGACACTAAGCAAAATCAGTATCTTAGGAAATTGTGCGTAGCGGCAATTCTTTGTTTCGGATCGACCATTCAATGCAATGAATGGGTCGGAAAAGAACTGCGATTATAATAATAAAAATAACATATGATAATAAAAGTCAGAATACAAAGGTATGATTAGAAAATTACCTCTGATCTTGATTGTAGACTAACACATATCAGTAACTTATTCTGTTTATGTAGAGAAGATTTATCTTATCAATGTTGCATCCAAGCCGAATCTGACATCAATCTTATATATGTAAATTGCAATTATTTTCTTTTGTGAAAAGATAAAAATAATGTTCACAAAGTGATACACAATATTAAAATTTTCGTATAGTAAAAAGATATATGCACATGTTTTTTTTTTTTTTTTTGGTTTCCCACCCGGTGTCCGGTACCCACATTGGGGCTCGACTAAATCCGGATTCGCGTCGAGAAGTCCCACATTTGGGGGGAGGGGAGGGGGGGAGGGGGGATAAAGCGCCCCAAGACTTGAACCCAAGACCTCTGGTTAAGGATGAAGGAGTACTTACCATTCCATCATAACCCTTGTTGGTTCTGTTCATGTTGAATTCTAGTTCTTATTCATTCCGTTTTGTAGAATATTAATTTATCATCTTATTTGTTGATTCTGTCATGCTTTTTCTACTTTTTTCTTCTTCTTATTATGGTCCATAGCAACATTTATTTCTGTCCAAAGCAACATTGGTTTAACTATTCAATCCGGAAAGGTGTGTTATCGTTTTTAGCCCGCACCAGAAATTATTTACATTTGGTAGCTGAAAAAGTGTATAAAATTTGTATATAACACACACACACACACACACACATATNTATATATATATACAAATTTGATACATTTTTCTGCTATTATTTTTACAACGGCTATAATGCAGTGTCATTTTTCCATCTGGGAAACGGCAAAAGGGTATTATTAAAGTATGAACAATTTATTTTCGGTTGTGTTTTAGCTATGGTGAATAAAGAAGTACCACTGTACTACAAGTCTACAACCATCTGTTCTATATGTCAACATTAACATAGTAGCTACCATCTATCAAATTCGGACGGAATTAATACAAAAGAAAACAAAATATATACGTGATACTGAGGGAATTAATTACAGTCATATGTTAAGAACTACACGGTGTAAAATGGAGTCCGGAACCTAAATATTGTGTTTTTGGACTCAAAACAGCTTAATAGGTGTTTAAAAAAAAAAAAAAGACATAAATATCAATTCCATCGCCATCTACCAAAACGACCGGAAATGTTTCAAAAAAAGTAGGCATACGACGTACAAAAAGTTCACGCCCTTCTTTATCTCTAAAGATAGGGTGTCCTAACCATCCAACCGCTATTCCATCCCCGTTATCCATTGAGCCCGCTCTGAATAATCCCCCTTTTGCCGGATTATTGCCGATGTAATCATAAAAAGCTAATTAGCGTATGACAACAGTACGCTATACCTTAACGGTAACGTCTGCCGTTAAGGTATAGCGTTTATTGTTATACGCTATATGTGTCAGACGATTTGACTTCTACATATAGCGTATAACAATAAAACGCTATATATAGCGTTTTAAAATCATACGCTATACTTCTTTATAATAGTGCCCGTCGTCTTCTTCCTCGACAGTTCTCCTTCCCCAATTTAAAAATTTCATCTTCTTCTTCTGGTCCCCCCACCCTTCTGCCCGTTTTTTTTTTA